GTGCAGCACACATTCTACACGGCGGTGCTGTCCGACACACAGGTGCAGTCCGCCCTGAGTGTGCTGTCAGACCCACAAGTGCAGTCCGCCCTGGCGGTGCTGTCAGACCCACAGGTGCAGTCCGCCCTGGGGGTGCGCCCAGACCCGGACAGCGACCTCATTCCACACGGCTTCGCCGCCCGCGGCCTGCTGCTCGGCGGCGACGGCAATTTGGGGGAGGCGGCCGCAGTCGAGGAGGCGGGGGCGGAGGGGCGCGGCGGCGGCGCAGACCCTTTGTTCCAGGTGCTCAAGAATGTGGTCAGATGTCTCCTGTGGCCTGGCGGCCGCATCGTCAACCTGTTCGCGTGGCTGTGTCGCCGCTCCACGCCGGCCGATGGGGTTGGGGCAGCGGGGGCCGCGGCGTCGGCGGCGGACGAGGGCAGCGGCTGCCGTAAGGGCCATGGGCAGGAGCCTTGGTGGGTCATGAAGCTGGCGGGCCATCTGGCGGTGGTGCTGGTGGTTCTGATCCTCCTGAGGCGCGCGCTCCGTGCCTGAGGGACGCGCGTGGAACGCGCGCTTGTGGCAGCCTGACCGCTCCGAGCGCGCGCCACACCAAGTGGGAGGCACCTGTTCCGCCCCGTCCCTGGCTCCGGCGCCGCTTGCTGGCAGGCTATGGGTTGCCTTGACCCCTGCATGACGGTCCCTGCGTCACAACACATGATCACCCCTGCCACCTTTGAGGTGTGGCACGGCACATTTAAGAAGTGAGTGCCGCGACACGCGCATGCGTGCGGATCTGGCAGCGCGCCCCTGCGCCTCCCGCTCGCGCGGCGTTTTACTGTGGCGCGGCCGCGCAGGGGGGGGGGGGGTGGCTCACACAACGGCTTAAAACACCATACTTGACCCCAGGGTCACACGTTGTACGGATACGACCGGCTTGATTCTGCACAGAACTGACTTGCCGCCATGTCGCATCCAGTTGCATGAAGTGCAAACTGCCCGCGTGAGCTCTCAGCAGGGCGTACTGGTGCCATGTGGCCCCCTGCTGGCAGTCGCTGCTTGCTTGAAGCAATAGTCTTTCCAGGGGCTTTATCGCGTTTTTTCCGTGGACAAACTGGCCGCTCCAGCTGCGCTGTAGATGGCATGTGGGCATGGAGTCTGCCCTCGCCTACCAGCACGTGTGCTTTCCACCGTTCTGTCGTCCTCTGATGCGGTGCTTGCTTCGAATGATAGTTGGCTGCATTCATTAGTGAAGGCCCAAGGAAGTGTCAGGATTGCTGCCATTTGGCCTGCCTGCTGAACAGTCGTACCTAGGATAGATCAATACAGCGTCGCGCTGGCATGCCGATGAAGGAGTCTTCTTTGTAATCAAGAAGTCATCAGGTGCACAGCAAATTGCCCGGTCTGTCATGAAAGCATCAACAGAGTCACAACTGAATCACACTTGAAATAACAGTACAAGTTTGAACGGAGTGCATCTGCTGGGTTCATGACCAACACCAGCTTGTCATGTGCAAACTATTATATTGCATTTCACAAACAGACAATATCCAACATCGACAGCTGCAGGACGTTGATGAGCAGGGCTGGGGGCGTAATGTCACAACAGCATCATATCTGCTGGAGGCACCATTCACACAGTGTAAAGGAGTAACACTACGCTCACTGCTAAGGCTCTCACTACTGCTGCTGCTGCTGCTGCTGCTACACTCTCCATCTACACGCTGGAATTGTGTTACAGCATCAATGATATGCACTACTCCACATCATTTGTGCACAGCGCGCAAGACTCCAGCATTCAAGCTGGGTCGGACAAACAACCCACAAAAATGGTGGCAAGGCGTACAATCAAAAACGGCAGCATGTCTCAACACATGGCAGAGATACCATGTCTTGTGTCAGTACAGCAACACTGCTGCGCACTCTGCCCAACCACTATACCATCAGTTGAGTCCTTTGTCTGTTGATGTTGCCAGGTATTGAGTTTACTGTGGTTGGCAAGCAGGGTGGGCAAAGGGCACACGGTAAACACCCCATTGTTGGAGAAGGGTACAAAGTGCACATAACACAAACTCATCACTCGCACCATATTGCCATAATCACCATCATCTACAATGTCGCATGCCCCCTTCCTGTCCTGCCGTGTATATGTATGTTTTGTCAGTAAGCATGACTAACCTTCCTGAAGCTGTCCTTGACGTCCTCAATCTTGTCGGACACAGCATTGCCAGCATCCCTGCACAGCAAGTTTTACAGAGATGTGAGTACTTTCGCACTACTGCTGCATCCCTCATCACATAAATATCAGACAACCCTACAATAAAGTACAGCCGTAACCTTGTGATTCCCTCCCACCCCCACCATCCCGCCTCACTTGATGTTGTCGCGCACACCCTCAACTGCATCCTGAGCCCGCTCCTTCACATTCTCAGCAGCACCCTAGGTGTGGGAGGGCAGGGACAAGGGTGAAATCAGTAACTCAGGGCCCATGATAACAGTCCTGCAACACATGTTTTAGGGTCACAGACAGGTGCAGCTGCAGTAGCAGTGACGAGCACAAAACCTCAATAGGGGAATGGAGCGGAATGCAACGCTGGATCAGCCCACAGCGCCACACCTTGATCTTGTCGCCGGCGCCCTCAGCGCGGTCCTGCAGCTCGTCCGCCCCCTTCTGGCTGCTGCGCTTCAGATCCTTCGCGGCATCCTGGGCGTTGCCCTTCAGGTCAGAGGCTGCAGTGGCAGTGACGCGGTTGGGGGTGAGGTATGGGTCAGCACAGTGGGAGGGTGCAGCGTGCACTTTCACTCCACCTTCAGACCAGCAACGCTGCAAAGCCCCCGCTTCTTGGTGCACAGCAACATGGGGCACAGCAGCATGTGACCAACCACACGCCATGTTGTGACGACAGGCGGGGTCAAGCGCTCTGTGGGCGCAAGATCCCGTTGGTTGATTCACGCATCCCCCACCAACCAACGCACCGGTGTCGGACACCCGGTCGCCAGCCTTCTGGGCCCCGCGCTTGGCGTCGCCGGCGGCGTCCTGGACCTGGGGAGGTGCAGCAGGTTGTGGGGATGAGGAGGGGGTGTGATGCCGAGGCCGCCGCCCAAGGGGACGATCTCATCATGCGTGCATGATGAGAAGGCGTGGGGATTGGCGCGAGGGACATGCCGCGGATGAGGCCGGCTCACCTTGTCGCCAGCGCGGTTCACGCCGCGCTCCACGTCGCGCCCGGCGCGGTCAGCCTCGCGGCCGAGGTCGCTGCGGACCACCACGGAGCGGAGGGTCGTCGGGGCGACGGGGGCGAGGGTGCGGGCGGGGGTGGGGCGCGCCACGGAGGCAAAGGGCTTGGTGGTGAGGAAGGCCATTGTGTCTGAACGGGTGAGCTTGGTGGCTGGTGATTGCAAGGTTACTTGATCGAGTAGAGAGCTGTTTGATCAAATGTGTGCTTGCAAGCCTTTTGAGTGTCAAAGGATGGCAGTGTGACGGGTGGTTTCCCGCTGCGGAGCCATGTGTCACGCCCTGTCACCGTTGCGAGAAGCGTGAGTCGGCGCGGGGGGCTACAACGCCGCGATATGATCAGTTGGACCGAATCTCCTGTCTGCAATCGATCATGGCGTTGCGGTGTGCCGAGACTGCGCACCGTTTGTATCAGATCTGTGATCTCGTGCCCTCGTCTCCCGAATCAATGCCAACGGATGCTTGATTACCCTATTTAGCCTAAGGGGGCAAGGAACAGTCATGGCGGCCCAGGGCGCGGGTTCCCTCCAGTTCACGATCTCCGGGAAGCAGATACGCGATTTCAAGACCGCCGTCCAGTCGTTGGGAAAGATAGGTTCGTGCACAAAACATGCATGTGACTCTCGCTGCATGTGGCGGCCTCAGTGCACAATGGTGCCAATGCTGCTGCGTGTGCTGCGCCGCTTCACTTTGTTGCAGGGTCTGAGCTTCTCGTTGAGGGCGTGCCCGAACGGGTGAGGCGCTGCAGATACAATTGTCTTGGCAGGACTGGGCCGCGCACAAACAGTGTTTGTGCTCTGTAGTTGCATGGCCAGGGTATCTGTATCAGCGCACCGGTCGAAGCATGCGGCAGTTGGTTGGGAGTTGCTCACAATGGAGTCCATTGGTCGCAAACCTGCGCATGCATGCACACGCCACACCCCCATAGGCCCCCATCCATGCACCCCACCGCCGCCTGACCGCCCCACGCACCCCACCACCGCCCGCCCGCGCAACTGCCCCCTGCCAACACTGTAACCGCCCCAGCTCATCCTGCGCGCCATCAACAGCAGCAAGAGCGCCTTCATGGCCGTCACGTTCAGCGCCAGGTTCTTCGAGGCCTACGCGGTGCTCAATGCAAACGTGGTGCAGGCCGGCATCCTGCTCAAGGCACGCGGGGCGGCCAGCGGCTCTGCGCGCGCCTTGAGCACATCACCCCCGGCACAACTTCCACCCACTCTCCCTCAAGGGCAAGGGCAGTCCTGAGTGTTGGCGTGGGAGCTGAGCACACAGCCCGTTGCCCTGCGTCCGCTTGCAGCCGCAAGAGCATCTCCCGGCGTGCGATCACGCCACACGCGGACCGCGCTTGTTTGATTCCCAGCCGCTGTTGTGCACCATTTCTGTCCCCTGTCGGCCGAGTGCAGCACATCATGCTCCTCGCCGCTGCTTGCCAACCCCCCAGAGTGTTCTGGCGACGTTCCGCAGCCAAAAGGTGGCCTCCATGACCTTCGAGCTCAGCCCTGACGCGCGCATGTCCGTCTCCCTGGAGTGCGACAACGGTGGGCTGGGGTCCCTGAAGTGCGCATCCGGAGGAGCTGCCATGCGCACCTGGCCACACCCGCACACATGCATGCGCGCGTGGCGCGCCGACTTCGCGACGGCAGTCCCTGTATAAAGAGTGCAGAGCTGTATGTTGCGCGTGCACGGCGTTTTGCCCCTCATGCACGCGAGCGCACGGCGCCCACTTCGCATCAGGCCCCTCCTCAGTCCCCCGCCCATAACAACACAAAAAACCCGCCAGGCCTGACCAAGCGGTACCGCCTTGACGCCCTTGAGGCCGACATCCTCCACGCCAGCGTGGACAAGGACGCATTCCCCACCAGTGCTGTGGCTGAGGCCGCGGAGCTCAACAAGTAAGGGGGGGGGGAGG